TTATTAATTAGGAGATTTAATAATTATCAATAATAAGAGTCACAAGTAGTAGTTCTCAATTAAATAAATTTGTTAATTGTCCTTTTCTTAAATATTTTTTTAAAATTATACATTTTGAGTAACGCGGGAAAAATATTGATTGACTGATATATTAATATGACCAGCCACTTGTTCCATCTTCATTGAATAATCATTTCCATGCGTAAGAGCATGGATACCTTTTTCCTCACCATTGTATGTACGATAGTTGTACAATAATTAATTCGTCAACATTCGTGATTCGATAAAGACTGATAATCACCGGTTACATTCATGATGCAATTCATGCAATTCATTCAGCAAAAAAATCACCACGATTGAGGTCACGTGATTGTTCGCTGTTTGCCAGCGAGTAATTGTTATTTGTTGGAATTTTTCAGCTTTTAGCGAATATTCGATGCTAGTAAAATACAAATCGCCTATGTAAAGAAACATTCATATTATTTACGAAATGGTAACAACAAAGCTAATTAAAGAAAAATTTTATATATTCAATTGGAATACATTGCATGTGTCCGCTTAAAATTAATGTATAAGCCTGAACCTCCATGCAGACACCGGCGCTTTGACACAGAGCACTAATTGGTAAAAAATGAGTGGTGAGAGTAAATATTTCCTTATTATTTACTCTCACCACTAATTTTTACTAATTAGCGCTCTGTGTCAAAGCGCCGGTGTCTGCATGAGGATTCAGCCTGAGATAGCATTCAAATGGTTTAAACCGAAATTGCGCTAGTAATTCTCCATGTATTTCACATCTTTGAATGGTATGTGGTGTAATCTTGTACGAAATTAATCATATTAATTGCATTATAATATATTATTACATTACATAACTTTTCTTATGATTTTATATAAATTTTATTTATATAATTTTATATAAATTTTATATAGATTTTATATAAATAACGAGGAATTTGATCAAGAATTTGTATGCCACTTGTTGCATTGTATCTATGAAAAATAAATTGAGCTTGATAGCATATTTTCAGATTATTCATTTTATATGTAAAAACATTGTTATACATAAACATATAATTCATAGCGAAGAGTTAAGAATTTGCTATTGCACTGTTCTATCTTTTTATCTCTATTACAAAGTTGTATATGTAATATATTCATTAATAGTAAAACATTTTACATTTAGAAATCTGTAACAAATTGAAAATTATGAATTCCTTAAATGAAAGAAATAGTAACTTTAAGCCTATACAAACCATGGAAGAAATATTTGTGAAGAATTATACAGAGGCAGAAGCTGAGGAGTATTTCAGAGTAAAATAGTTTCTTATTTAATCATATAATATATATGAAAAGCAATTCTGTTATATTACATTTATGTTTCTTTTTTTTCAGTATATGAATAGTAAAGATGGGAATAGAGAAGAATTAAATATGACATCCCCAGGATTAGAAGATGATCTACAAAAACTCTATGTAGAAGATCTGGCTAAAGTCTATCGAGAGTGCAGTTTTACTTATAATCCAAAATTTAATGATTTATCTGTTTTATCCATGAAAGACGAGATACTGTCTATAATTGAGACAAATTCTGTAGTCATTATTCAGGGACCAACCGGCTGTGGAAAAACAACTCAGATTCCACAATACATTCTTAATGCTTACATGAAGAAGAAGCTTAACTGCAATATTATAGGTATATTTTTTATCAAATTTTTATATTTTTATATTATAATTAATTATCATGACAAAAGTAATATGTAGATTATACAAGATTATACAAGAATTATAATATTAATATAGTTACGCAACCAAGACGAATTGCTGCAATAAGTGTTGCCAAAAGGGTCAGCCAAGAAGGAGGTTGGGATCTTGGTAGCCTTGTGGGCTATATAGTAGGCATGAAAAGGGAAATTTCAAATGAAACCCGTTTAACTTACTGCACCACTGAAATTCTACTCCAACATATAATTGAGCATAAACATATGTTGAATTATACGCACATTATATTGGATGAAATTCATGAACGTGATCAAAATTTAGATTTTCTATTACTTGTTGTTAAAAGATTATTACAAATAAATTCTAGACAGGTCAAAGTTATTCTCATGTCGGCAACAATCAATGTAACAAAATTTGCAAAATACTTTTCAAATGAATTAGCAGTACCAATTATCAAAATTCCCGAAAAGAGAAATTTTGAAATATGTACGTATTATTTGGATGAGATAACAAATCTAGGGATTGTAAGTATACATGAAAGTAATTATTTCTAATTTTATTAATTTGTAATTTCTAAATTTTATTAATTTTATTAATTGTTATATTTTTTCCTACGCGCGCGCGCGCGCGCGCGTGTGTGTGTGTGTGTGTGTGTGTGTGTGTGTGTAATTTGTAAGTATACAAATTTGTACCATGATGCGTAACCATAAATTTATATTTTGCAGATACCGGAAGTATCTGCTGTGGAACCAAAGATCACTCAAAATATGATCAATTTTTGCTCGCTTATTGTCGACGCTTTAGATAAAATTGACATAAATGATAACGAAGGAAATTCAAATTCATTTCAAAGACATGCTGTTCTTATATTTTTACCAGGACTTTATGAAATTGAAGAGTTGTATAATTACTTGACATTGACTTATCACAAAGATAAATTATGGGATCTGGTGTATTTTACATTCATTGATTTCTGGTGATGACGAACAGTTACGTGTTTTTCACAAACCACCAGAAGGTTATAGACGCATTATACTTTCTACAAATATTGCTGAAAGCAGTATTACTGTGCCAAATGTAAAATATGGTAAATAATACAATTTTTACATAAATTATACGTTTAATTCATATAAAAATTGAAAGAGAAAAACATAAATCATTTGGGAAGGTATATTTAATTGTGAAAAGAAATATTGAAAGTATTTAAAAATAATATAATGATTATCAAAAACAAAAAAATATAATTCAATACATAATTTCCAGTAATAGACTTTTGTCTTGTGAAACAACTAATCAAGGATCCCATCAGTCAATATCAAACTTTAAAACTTTGTTGGGCAAGTAAAACAAATTGTATACAACGAGCTGGTCGCACGGGTCGTGTAATGGATGGTAGAGTGTACAGATTAGTACCAAAAGCATTTTATGATGTAAGTAATTAAAATATTTAGAATCCATGTTTTGTGTTTCCATATGCAATAATCTCTTAATTATTTTCCTATAAAATTTACAGAATATTTTAGATGATGAGAGTACACCAGAAATGCTTCGCGTTCCGCTCACTAATGTTATTCTTCGTGCTAAAGCTCTTGATATTGATGAGCCACGTATACTTCTTTCGCAGTCCCTCGATCCACCTAGTCTTTCTAATTTGGCAAACAATATTCTAATCTTAAAAGAAGTCGGGGCCTTAGTAAATGAGGACAATTCTTACCTACCTTTCGATGGAAAATTAACTGATCTTGGCAAAATAATGGCGCGTCTTCCGCTCGATATTCGAATTTCGAAGTTTATCATGTTGGGCCACGTTTTTGGAGTATTACGAGATGCTATTATTATGGGAGCCAGTATGTCTGTTAAGGATGTTTTTATTCTTGAAAGATGCCATCCTACTGTTTCTTCATATATTACACGAAAAAAATGGGCTCGTGGTTCTAATAGTGACTGCATCGCTACTTTAAACGTTTATAAAATGTGGCAGAATGAAAAGGCAAACCGTCGATTAAACACTTATCAAGCCGAGAGACAATGGGCCCAAAGAAATGGGCTCCATTTAAAGACTCTTCGTGAATTGGATGCTCTAGCGAATGAAGTCACTAATAGATTATTCCATTTGGGAATTAAAGAGAGTACTGGAATAAACAAAATCATTTGGGAAGGTATATTTATTTATTTTTAAATTATTTATGATTATATTATTGCTTTTTAATTTAATTATTTTACTATTTTTGATTATTTTTAATTATTTTTAATTATTTTTAATTATTTTTAATTATTTTTAATTGGTTTAATCATGTGTGTATGCATCATGTGTATATAAATATACATAATCTAATTCTATTTATATTTTTTCAATTGTTAGGTATAGAACGTGATTTTGTACTTCAAGTCGCTCTTGCTGGAGCCTTTTATCCTAATTACTTTATTAAACGTTTGCACAATCGTGAAGTCCACAAAGAAAATATTACGATGTCTCTGGGAGCTCTAGATCCCATGAAGACAGTCTATTTAAAAGGTTGGCCAATAAAACAACCTGGATATATATATGCTAAGAAATTTCAAGCACTCTTTTCCAAGTATCTAGGAATTCCAGAAAAGCAAATAGCAGTATTTTTTGATGGAACGCAACGCATTTACGTGCAATTTCGTGAAAAAGAAATAGACATTGATAACAGTCTTCAAAATATATCTGACTCTGTTTATCAGGTGATTATTAATTTATTACCTACATTGTATGTAAATATTTATACAAGAAATATATATTGAGGAATGTAATAATATGATAATATATAATTTTAACATTGTGAAAAGAAATTATAATTTTGTAAATGTGAATCAAAAATATATATATAAAATATAATTGTAAAAAGAGACATCTATGTAACATAGATATTTATATGATGAAATAAATTATTAATAATAACATAATAATATATTGATAAAATAAATATTAATTAGTAACATAATAATATATATTTTTTATCAGGCTGTCATGATGAGACAATGCAGTGTACCGATAAAAATACAGTTATTGAATATAAAAGAAGCAAATGAAATGGCGAAACATTATAATTTTCATCAATTCGAACGGAATCTTTTCTTTCGTAAAAATTTTAGGAAAATGGAGATTGATGTTCCTGAAATTGGACCGGAATTGCCAGGACTTGATATAACTGTTATACCTTTATTTATACAAAATGTAAGTTCTTTGCTTAATTTTTCTTTATCTGAAAGTTTAATAAATAAATAACGATAGAACATATGTGTATTTACGCGCCTTTTATATAAAAGAAATATAATAAAGCATAATAAATTATATATTCTTGATAATAATAATTATTATAGTGGATTGATTGCTTATTTGATTATTAACAAGTCTTTCTCGTATTTGCTTTTTAACGTATAATATAATAATTCATTTTTATTTAGATTATCAGTCCTGGATATTTCTGGGCCACTTTCGATGATGATACCACTCGTAGTAAATTACGATTTATACAAATGCATCTCAATAAATATCCCTTGCAAAAATGTGACTCTATTTTAAAATCATCAGCCATAATCGCTGCCCCGAGAGAAAATAATGATTCTTTCACTTATCATCGTGCCATAATTGAAGAATTTATCTCAGAAATTGGAGAACTAGTAGATGTTTTCTTTATCGATCTCGGTTGCTTTTCTAGAATACGATTCTGTGATTTAAGAGAAATTAATAATATTGCAGTTTTGAAAATTCCTCCTTTAGCATTTCGTTGCAATCTGAGTTCTTTACGACCTTCAAGTCAAAGAAATATTTACGGTCAGTGGTCGGAACAGTCGCAAAACTATTTTCTGATGAAAATTAAGGAAAGTAAGAAGAAATTTGGAAAAATTTATTCAGTTGTTGATAGTATTATTAATATAGAATTGATCGTTGTTAATGAAGAAGGAGATGAGTTTAATCTTAATGAAGATTTAATTAAAAAAGGATATGCTGTGAGAAGAGAAGAAGGTTATTTATCAAAACATAATCATGAATTGAGAGAACATAATGATATTACTGCGATGACAAAAGAGGAGAAAATATTTTATGAGAAGGAACAATATGACAAATATCATTCATTGAAAGTGAGTAAAATAATTACGTATGTAAGTACTAATATGCAGCATTGCATATTAATAAACTTATGAAATTTTTAATTGTTTCAAAATTAATAAATTAATTTTTTGTATGATTCCCCAGTATCCTAATCCACCGAGTGAAGAAAACTGTACGTCTAGTGTAAGACTCCAAGGTCCATATTCTCCCTTAGAAATGGAGTTGTCACAGTTACTATTAAAAAAATCAAAAAAGATAATTGTAGAGACAAATTCCATTAATTCCGTTCTTCTGGATAACAATTTTGATCAATCAGAACGCCTTTTAATTGCACAGAGTGTTACACAATCCAATAATAATAATACTTTAATACTCAGAAATACGACATATCTGCCAAATATTCCTGGACTTGCGGCATTGCTTACGTTGATTTTTACGCCGCGTATGGAGTTGAGATGTAATTCTCGTAGAACTTATTACACAGGAGCTTTATGCGGCTTAGGCCCGATAGATAATTGTAATAAGCGGGCTATATTTCCTGATCACGATATAGAAATTCAATTTGATATAGAAATTACAATGGACGATATAAAAGA